GTTTTAGTTACAACTCCCGTACTTATAAGTTAATATGCGTACCGCGCGTAAGTCACGTATGACGCGGATGTCGCGGCGAGAGACCGAGATGTTAAGCCTGACGCGAGTGGTCTCTCCGCTTTTTTATAGTATTGTTTTAGACTTGTCGGAGGGGGTGCCTGGCGACAAGAACATTACCATATTTGGTAATGGTGTCATGCGTTTGGAATTGAGGTCCTAAATGCGGAATGTGCAAGGTGGTGCTTATCGCAGCACTTGCACATCGCTTGCTTGTTGTGGCGCAATTGAAACAATTCCTCGAGAAGTGTTTCGAAAACGCTGGTACCATTCGCGATTATAACAGTACCATTTTAAGTTGTCATGAACCAATCACAGAACCGTATTCGCATCTTAAGACATTACTTAAGGGTACGTTCAGATTCCCTACCAGGGTGCACTCTAATACTAGAAGTGCTATAGTATATGTAACATATACTATAGTGTTTCTAGTAATAGAGTGCACCCGGGTAGGGAATCTGAACGCACCCTAAGATGGTCTTGAAATAATGTCTTAAGATGCGAATACGGCTCTGTGATTGGTTCATGACATCTTAAGACAGTACTTAAGATGATCTTAAATATAAGATCGGACTATGAATACCGGCCCTAAAACGATAATCTGATTGCCTGTTCAGCTTAAGTTTACGTGTTATGTTTATGATTACGCCTTTGACTATGGGTGTTTTCCAGTTACGTTACACTGTGTTACACAAAACCGTTTATTAGTTACTTATTATCTAAAATATCTTGTAAGATAATATGCCACCAATAAACAAGTTTTGTATAATACAGTATCCGTAGCTGGAAAGCATCTTATATAACCATGGACCGCTAGCGGCGATTCTAATGGCTCCTGCACACGCGGTAATGCTTGCCGCGCGGTGGAAGTCCGCGCGACATCCAATTAATATGTTGTTTTTCCGTAAGAGCTAGAAGATTATTATGGAAAGCAGCATATTGATTGGCTGTCGCGCGAACTTCCGCCGCGCGGCAAGCATTACCGCGTCCTGTGTGCAGGAGCCATAAAAGTACCTTTACATGGGAGCATCGAGCGTTGAGCGTTAAAGCGATAGCCAATCAATGTGCCACTTTCCGTAAGAACTACAAGTATACTTCTAGGACCTAATACGTTGATTGGCTAACGCTCGACGCTCCCATGTATTTGCACCTTTAAGGTTTTTTCGCGTCGCCCAACGTGCTCCTACTCGCTTCAACGCACTCTGATTGGTCCGCATAGTTACGTAAACCAATCAGAGTGCGTTGGAGCGAGTAGGAGCACGTTGGGACATACGACGCGAACAAACCCTAATGGCTCCTGCACACAGGACGCAGTAATGCTTGCCACGCGGCGGAAATCCATGCGACAGCCAATCAATATGTTGTTTTTCCGTAAGAGCTAGAAGGTTATTACGAAAAGCAGCATATTGATTAGCTGTCGCGCAAACTTCCGCCGCGTGGCAAGCATTGCCGCGTCCTGTGTGTAGAAGCCATAAGTGTCTGTCAACATCTGTAGTGCCGCCACGACCAAACAACGGCAAAAGAAGGAACTCAGTAGAGTAAAACAGGGGTGAGACCCGATTGACCATGATACGATTGGACACAGATTGTAATGATTGGTTAGACCTAGTAATTCACTAGATAATTTTTTTCATCGGTTGGTTGTGTCCAATCGTACCGTGGTCAATCGGGACGCAAAACAGAGTTAGCAACGTAAACGTTTTTAATATTCGCGTATCACATGGTGATACGTATTGGAAAGAGCTAATAGTGTAGTAGAAGTAATAAAAAGAACTAAACTTTTTTGAAAACCACAAATACTTTATAACAAAATTAATTATAGAAAATTATGTTAAAATTGTTATGAATTATGAGGGAATTAATGAGCCAAAAATGTCAATATATCAAACGTAAATTGATAAAAATTATTTTATTTTAAGGACAATAATATACCGTCATTTGGGGTAACTTTTATATCGCTGATATGAAAGTTCTACCTCTATCCGTTTAATGATGCCACAAGTTTTTGTAAGCCGTTGTAAATTGTTTAAAGTTACCCCGGTGTTCCAAGTTACCTCAAATAACGATATTTTAAATAATGTTTTAAAGAATGTTGAACGTTCTTTTTATAATATTACATATATATTATATAAAAATTTTTATTATATCCCACACAGCAGAGATGTCCAAAATATATCACAGGGATATCCTAAAGGTATATTTGGGATATACGATATCTTCAAGATATCCTTATATATATATTTGGGACGTTCTTGCTGTGTGGGATATATATTTTTTTTATTCATATATTATATATCTCTTATTATATAAATGTATTATATAAATATTGTATATTCTTATATGATATTTATAATTCTTATATATTCTTATATAATATAATAAATACAAATTTGGTATGAAATTATATAAATATCTTATTTTGTGTTTTTATATTTTCCTTGCAAATCCGATTTTTTTTCTTGTTACTTTAAAAATTGTTGATTTTTATATTATAGCAAAGTTGTATAACTTTTTTTTAATGTAATAATTTATTTGAAGAAAAAATAAAAAAGTCTGTTATTGACGATTAAAGAAATATCATAACAATTTTTCATGTATTTTAATGATAACTGCAATTTATGATCACGGACACACACACAAAATATCTTTCACATAGTAAAATAGAAATCACAAGTATATGATAGTTTACGTAATAGTTGTTTGGTCCTGGCGGCGCTGCAGATGTTGACAGACGTTTTGCTGCAGATATAAGATAGCGGCTAGCGATTCATGGTTATATAGTCAAAGAGTTACGCCAATTCGTGTGCGAAAGCCCTTAAGGCCTGTTCTACAATACGTCGTATGTCGCTGTCGCACGTCGGCACAGAGCGATGGTCAAATAAGGCGAACTCGTCTCGAAGAACAAATCCTCTGATTGGCTCATCAGCTGTACTCCAACATTCGACAGCGACATATTGTACGACGTATTGTAGAACAGGCTTAAGTCCGTGTTACACAACGGATTGGAGATTGAGAATTGCGGATAGAACATTGGAACTTGACCAATTGGAGCCAAACAGGCCAAGATCAAAGTGCATTGATTCATCGAAATCTAATCTTCAATCCGCAATCCTTAATTTCCAATCCGTAGTGTGAAAGCCAAATCACACTAGCGATTGGCGATTGACGATTGACAATTAAAGATTAGATTTTAATGAATCAACAAGCTTCAGCCTTGGTTTGCTTTGTTCCAATTGGTCAAGTTCCAATCTTCAATCATCAATCATCTATCGCCAATCGTTAATGTGATTTGGTCTTGACACGGACTTTAAAGATCAAATCACACTAACGATTGGCGATAAGGCCAAATCACACTAGCGATTGGCGATAGATAATTGACGATTGAAGATTAGAACTTGACCAATTGGAACAAAAGCAAGCGTTATAACCATAGAAGGAGAAGGACATACTAGATGGCGGCGGGACGCCGTGCGTTCGAGATCTGCGTCTTTTCGTTCCAGAGAGAGAAAAATATCGAGAGCACGGTTTTGCTTGACCAGGACTTGAACCCGGGTCTTTCGCTTGCCGGGCGACTGCTCTAAACTATTGAGCTACCTGACGTTCCACGCCTACGACACTCTCCTCTTTCTAGATAACGCTTGCAAGCCAAGGTTGAAGCTTATTAATTCGTTAAAATCTAATCTTTAATTGTCAATCGTCAATTGTCAATCGCTAATATGATTTGGCCTATAGATGATTGACGATTGAAAATTGGAACTTGACCAATTGGAACAAAGCAAGCTAAGGTTAAAGCTCGTTGATAATTCGTCAAAATCTAATAGTCAATCGCCAAATCACACTAGCAATTGACGATTGACGATTGAAGATTAGATTTTGACGAATCAACGAGTTTCAACCTTGGCTTACTTTGTTCCAATTGGTCAAGTTCCAATCTTCAATCGTCAATCATCTCGCCAAACGCTAGTGTGATTTGGCCTTTAGTCGCCTAAAGCCAGTAATGAAAAAGAGAGAGAAGAGAAAGAGAGAAGAAACAGAAAAATAAAAAGAGAGAAGAAACAGAGAGAGAGAGAGAGAGATGCAATTCTATTGACTGGAAAAGTCTAATAGTAACTAGCGAGTCAGTCGAACAGTGACTATAGTGTGAGAAAGTTTCGGAAGTTATTAAACGCTAAAACTCTTAATTCATCAGTGTTGCTCACTAAGTGATTAAATGTATGTATGAATGTATTTATTTAATAAAGTTCGGTAATTATCAAGGAAAGGGGGAACCTCACCGATTTCGGTAAAATTTGGTAGGATAATATATTTTGACACGTAGAAACCGAATCTAAAAGCCAAAATCGTCGCTTTTCACGGTGAAGCGAGATATTAATTGATAAAGTTGATCACATTTAAGATTAGGAAAACTGTCAAACCAACGACAACAGCGACATGTATAAGACCCGTGGCCACATTGGGGTCCAGGGGGTATTCAGGGGGGCTGAAAGCCCCCCCCCTGGTTTGATAAAAATAACATTCTAAAAAAAAGTAAAAATGCATCTCGCATGGTATGTTAAGCATATGTTGTTTTTGCGAGGTGCATTTTTATTTTTATTTAGAATGTTATTTTTGTCAAATCGGGGATGGGGGATTTCAGTTTCCTGAACCTCTCCCTGACCGGGGGCTTCGTCTCCTGGACCCTCATGAAACTACGAATGTTATACATGTCGCTATTTGTCGTCGTTCTACACAGCGTAACAAGATATTAATGATGAAAGTTGCACACTGTTTAAAGTTAGGAAACTTGTCAGAGCTTGATATTTCTTTATATATCAATCCCTATACGATAAAATACACGTATATTTCAGATTGATGCATTTTAATATATAAAATAATATTTAATTATACAAACAAATATTAAAATATTAATATAAATATTCTTTATATAATTTGATACATCTACATCTTCCTCAGTAGACAATTCTGGTTTATATAATTCTGCAATCGCAGAAAAGAAAGCGGATATACAGTCTTCACATTTATGAACGCATTTGAAGAGATATTTGGCTAAGTATCCCACTAAATGAGCAGTGTGTGTTCCATATTGTGGAATATTAGCTCTTACTTCTCTCCAAACGTATTCAATATGTTGAGTGTGTGCTCCTAAATAAACAATAAAGAAAAAAATAAGTATAGCCATATTAATTGTAATTTTATGTACATAAATGCATATGCATTGTAAAAAAAATATACAATTTTAAGTACATTAAGCTACAATCTTTCGCCTTACTAAAGTAATGAGTTTAATATATATTAAAATAAAAGTTTCTGAAAGGATTAGCAAAGGCCCCTACGCAAGATATGTGTTACATTAATTTATCACTAAAGTCTATGCATTTTATTGCAGATTTAATTCCAAACCTTGCGTAGAAATCTTTGCTATTCTTTTCAGAATCTTTTATTTTAGTATATATTAGACTCATTAATTTAGTAAGGCGAAAGATTGTAGTTTAATGTATTTTAAATTGTGCATCGTTTTTTGTATATCTGTATTTACCAGTATCGGGATCGATGAAATTCATAGAATGATTCACTGCTAGATGTTGGAAATCTTCACTGCTTAAGCAGTTATAAGATTTCCAACAATCTGACACTATCGTCCCGTGTAAAATCCATTCCTTAATAATATTTAATAAAGTTGTCTCTGTCCGACTTGGAACTGACACGAGAAATATTTTTCTGAAATCTCGTTCGTATCCACTGAATATCCATTTTGCTTCTATTATTCGGTCACGGTTATATTTTCTCTTGCCGATTTTGGCCTTGTCTATTTTCACTATTTCGTTTGGTTCTCCAAGTTTTATTGAGTTTTTTTTGACCCAATGTATGCAAATCTATTTTTTTTTGTTCAAGTATAATATATATTCATATATACATATATATATATATATATATATATATATATATATATTTACTAAATATATATTCATATATTTAGTGTTTATTAATGCTATATTATATTTACCTCTCGGCCAAAAGAAGTCCAGTCTATAATTGTATGGTCAGACAGATTTAGTTCTATAGATAAAAATTCTTATCGTGGAGGTCTTAAATTCATTAAAGTCATTATAAAATAAGCTGTAATCCTGCATATTGTTTCTATGCTTAATTTTGACTTGCCAACCATGTGTTCTTTTTCACACTCACTTTAAAATTACACTTCTTTTTACTATTGTTTTATGTTTATCTTTCTCATAATACAATTTTGTGCAATGAAATAACATTTCACTGCTAATTATTAATTTTTTGTTGCACTTGGGACATTGCACTTCACTATTGATTATTTTTTTTCTATTAAATAATTTTTTAATTTATCTGTATTATGAGTTAAAGCTAAAAATTCATGAAGCTGCATTTCACTGCTTTTTGATAAGATAAGCGTACTAATGCCTGGGCATGTATTTATCTTTAGCATTATACTTATCATCATTATTATTTTGATATTTAAATATGAATATTTTGGCTTTCAACGTACAATACATACACATTGCTATACATTTAATATTTATATATAGTATACGTTAAAAAATGAAATATTCAAAATAATAAGAATGTCTGGAGTTAATGCTTATGTTTTTGAATTAATGTTTATGTCTGGATTTTATGTTTTTGAGTTTATGTCCGGGCATTAGTACATTTACATTATTTTAAACAAAAGACAATTAATATTTTACTTATCATTCAAACTTTTGTCACGTAACCTATGATTTCCACTTTTATAATCTGTTCTTTATAGATGCTCAACTGGTCCATACGCATGTAATAGTTATATTGCATATAACTATTGCATGCATATGGACCAGTTAATATTTCTACTAGTCTGTCCCACATAAGATGCCTCACAATTACCGCATTGCAACTTGTAAACGACGTTATTATAGAGTCCAGAGGGAAGCTTGTTTTTATGAACTTGAATCATATCCGTTAATTTATTTGTACAAGAATAAGAAACCTTTTTAAAAATGACTCGACAAAGGTTTCTTATTCTTGTACAAATAAATTAACGGATATGATTCGAGTTCATAAAGACAGCCTTCCCTCTGGATTCTAACGTCGTTTACAAGTTGCAATGCGGTAATTGTGAGCATCTTATGTGAGACAGACTAGTAGAAAACTCTCTACGCATGTTTCCGAACATATGAGAATTCCAAGAAGTGCTACGGTGGAATTGATAGCTGTCCAGGAACACCGTTTGAATGAAAATCATGAATTTGACTGGGAACACGTCAAAATTTTACATGAAGAACGTTTTTATATAAAACGATTAATAGCCGAGATGATTTTCATCAGTCTACAGAATCAAGGATTAAATTCGCAAAAAGACACGGAATATTTAGGCAATAGCTGCTGCGGATTGTTATGATAAATTGCTGTTTGTTTTCTTTCTCTTCCATGGTCGCCGCTACATTCTTCGACGCTTGTGTATATAAATCGATCGTAACTCGCATTCCTACACTTAGTAATATTATCGTCGACAATATTGTTTCATATACTGTGTTTAACCTGCAATCTGTTTTAAGATAATTTATAAATTTTTCTGTTTTATTTTCTTATCGTAGCTTTTAATTTCTACAGACTTTTTTTCTTTTTAATTTTGTTAGACATAAAAACTGCTGCACACTAATATACGTTTCTATGAACAATGGAATAAGACCTGATTATGAGCGTTTTTGTCGACCGTAATATTAAAAAACAATTTATGTTCTTTGTGGACATTCAAGTTGGGAATATTATTAATTGTATTTCGTCATTCTGTACTAGCATCGAGACTTTTACTTTTTATGTATTTATCACTGAAGAGGGTTCACAGCTGAACCGAAACGTTTGATTATTTATATGTTCTATTTTTAATAACTCTATTTCCTAATAAAAGGAATGTTTTACCAACTCAGGTAATGTAGCACTATTACGACCGTGCTTGAACTCAAATTAGCCTTTTTTCCTATTTTAAAATTTATAGAAATAAAACTTTTAATATGTTTGAAGAAGATGAAAATACAACAATTATCCATCTCACATGAATTTTACAAATAATAGTGATTCTTGTATCGATATTGATTTAATTTAATGTTAGTTTAAATTTATAGCTTATATATACCTGTATTCATCCTATGTTGTCGTCGGATAACAATACATAATGCGTATTCTCGCGTTTTTAGTTCAGATATTAGTCACATTCTGACTAACAAGTTCGTCTTGCACGCTTTCATGCTGAAAGCATTACTCTAACTTTATCACTCATTACATGCCGAAGGAGGATAGAATGATATTTTCAGCACCAAAACGTGTAAAACGAATTTAGTTTTGATTCTGTAATCATGACGTCAACGTTTTGGTATTATTTGTTTAGCGTAGAGATTGAGGATCTTGAAAATTCTTGTCGGGGACTGTACAAATTCATCCAATATCTAATCAAGAAATCCGACTATCAGTAAATCAGACAAATTTCTCATACAGCTAATGAGATATTAGCTCTAATGAAGCCTAGAGTTTTCTAAAAACTCAATTAGAAGTTAGTAACTGAAAATCAAAATAATATTTTCTTTTTATTTTAAATGTTGAACTAACAAGTAAACCGTCGGAGGTAACTCTCACTGATTTTGATGGGCCTTGGATATGTTGTAGTGCATTAAAAAATAAAAGACCCATATTTTTTTATCTGCTTCAGAGAAGGTTTAGGGGGTGAAACCACCCTTAAAAAATAATAGCTTTTTTAATTTTTGCCGAATATCTGCTAAACTATGAGGTATATAAAAAAATGTTTTATACAAAAGTTGTATGGTATTTCATATTCTTCACGAGAGTATATTTCAATTTCATAAAAATTGAAAATTTATAACACCCCCCCTTCTCTTAAATATTTGGGAATTTTTTTATTTTTGTTATAACGAAAGTTATAGAGCATAAAAAGCCAAACACAACCGTATATAATGTTACGATATGGTCTTTAAGATGGCTCTAGGTGCTATAAATGGTTGACGGCGACAGCTGATTTTTGCTGTATCGTGAAGTGTCAACATCTGTCAACCAAATATTGTTTACAAGCCTTTGAGTTTTGCAC